GCCCGTATGCGGCACCGATAGTAGTGGTAAAAAAGAAGTCGGGGGAGATAAGACTGTGTTGTGATTACCGGAAATTGAACAATATCACAAGAAGGGATGCATTCCCCTTGCCTCGTATTGATGAATGTCTTGATGCGTTGGGGGGAGCAAGATTTTTTTCTACCTTAGATTTGGCTAGCGGCTACCACCAAGTGGCCATGCACCCCAACGATCAACATAAGACTGCATTTATTTCTCCACTGGGACTGTACGAGTGGACCCGTATGCGCCTGCTACATTCCAGCGAGTAATGCAGAGTGCTATGAGTGACTTTCTATTTCAAATAATGTTGGTGTACTTGGATGATATACTAGTTTACTCAAAAACTTGGGAGGACCATCTAAAAAGATTAGAACAAGTGTTTCTCCGTCTTAGGGAGATAGGAGTAAAGCTGAACCCAGACAAATGCTGCTTCGGTCTGAAATCGGTACATTTTTTGGGTTATGTGATTTCGGCGGATGGCATCGCCACTGACCCAGATAAAATTGCAGCTGTTAAAGAATGGAAACAGCCAACAACTACAGTAGAGGTCAGATCATTCTTGGGCTTTGCTTCATATTATAGAAAATTTGTGCCTGGTTTTGCAAAAATTGCCGCACCATTGCATGACTTGGTAAACAAAATGACAAAGAAACACAGTAAGGAGAAAAAGAAAGGCAAAACACAACTGATAGGTGAATTATGGACTGAGGAATGCCTGAACTCGTTTAAGCTCTTGAAAAAGGCTTTGACAGAAGCGCCGATATTAGGATACGCGGACTTTGACAAACCATTTCGGCTAGAAATTGACGCCAGCTCTAAAGGTCTGGGAGCTGTGCTATCACAACAACAAAAGCAAGGTTTCAGGGTTATTGCGTATGCCAGTCGAGCTCTGAAGGAATCAGAGAAGAACATGACAAATTACAGCGCCATGAAACTAGAACTTTTGACATTAAAATGGGCTGTGACTGAAAAATTCAGGGACTATCTATTAGGTGCTAAATGTGTGGTATACACTGACAATAACCCCTTGAGTCACCTAAAGACAGCAAAGTTGGGATCCATCGAACAGCGATGGGCAGCAGAATTGGCACTCTTTGACCTAGAGATAAAATATCGCCCGGGGCGGTCCAATGGCAATGCGGACGCCTTATCAAGGAATCCTTACGAGAGACCGGGCGATGAGGAAGAAACGCTGACAGGAATATGTGAGGTCAGAGCGTCAACAGATATCCCTCACGGGGTGCAAGTGATGCAGGACGGACAGACCGGGGTGGAGCACATTTCCACAGAGCCCGGACATATGGACATTAGTGATTTTAATTGCCTTAATTACAAAGAGATAAGAGATGCCCAGAGAACGGATAGTGGCTTACAGCCGCTGTTGAAACACGTCCAGGAACAAAAATTCCCAGGAAGAAGGGAAAGAGAACAATTTGGTCGAGAAACAAAGAAAATACTGAGTCAGTGGGACCGTCTCAGTATAAAGGATGGTGTTCTCATGCGGAGAATTCATGACCAAATTGATGGGACAATACACCAGGTGGTGGTGCCTGGACAATTACGAGAAGAAGTGCTAAGGTTGGCACATGACAGGGCAGGACACCAGGGTCAGGACAGGACGCACAAAATATTACGACGGAGGTGTTACTGGCCCAATATGGAAATGGAGGTCAAACGCCATTGTGAGGCTTGTGTGAGGTGTCAGCATGCGAAAATGCCAGTTGTCAAAATGAGACAGCCATCAGGACACCTACTGGCGACAAAACCACTAGAGATTGTGGCTATGGACTTTACGTCGTTGGAGCAATCATCGGATGGGACGGAACATGTGTTGGTAATGACTGATGTATTCACCAAATGGACTGTGGCGGTGCCCACACGAGATCAGACTGCCAAAACAGTGGCAAAGGTCTTAATAGAACATTGGTTCATCAAATATGGCATACCAAGACAATTACACTCTGACCAAGGAAGGGCCTTCGAGTCAGAAGTAATTAACCAACTGTGCAGCCACTACGGGATCAACAAATCTAGAACAACCACATTTAATCCGAAAGGAAACGGACAGTGCGAGCGGTTCAACCGCAGCATGCATGATTTGCTGCGTACTCTAGAACCTGAACAGAAAAAACGTTGGCCTGATTTTCTCCCAGAGTTGGTATATCTATACAACTGCACCCCCCATGCCACAACCGGCTTTTCGCCACACATGTTGCTGTTCGGACGGGAGGCTCGACTCCCTCTTGACTTGTTCCTAGGAAAAAAGGAGAGTATGACTGGCTCATACACGGCACTGGAATATGTGAATGAACATATGAGACGAATTAGAGAAATGTACAGGGTAGTACAGGAAAGACTAGAACATGAAGCACGGCGAAGGGAACCGCCGGTTCAGACAAAGGACCCGCCACTCAAACTGAACGACAGGGTATTACTGCGTAGCCACCCGTTAGGCAGAAACAAAATCCACGACCTCTGGGGACAGGAGATATGGCAAGTCGTGGAGATGCCTAAAGTAGCAGGTGGCCCCTTTAAGATAAGACCCATCGATCACACCAAACCGGATCGGTGGGCGAATATTGCTCAATTAAAGAAATATTGTCATGGTCAAGAAGAGCAGTTACACACAAGGAAACCCAAGACAATTAGGGAACCGGAAACTATAACGGAAATTCACATACCCATCCCGGAACCATGTCACCATCAACAGAACAACAGCGATACACAAGTGGAGGATAACGGCAACGAAGAGGATCCCGTTCCTCCCAGAAGCAGAGAGACAGTAGACCATCAGATAAGTGGTCCGCGGAGAAGTTTGAGAAACAGAAAGAATACGAAATTTTTTGTCAGCAACCATCAATTCTTTCATGGTCGCGCTGGTATGAGAACAGACTGTTCAAAAAGCCATAAAAGTGAACTGGTGAAAGCACCAAACGAAAAAAGGTGGATGTGAATTCTAGAACTGTTTTGTGTCTGAGGAAGATGATGTAGACACATTTGATATGTGAAATAGGGATAACTGTCAATCTTATACGAAGGTGACGACATTGACAGTGAGTGGAACAATAAATTTTTTTTACGGTGGTGCGATTGACTTTGAAGGACTGCACCTGCCAAGCGTTGTTTGTGGTTGATAACACACAAAAAAAGGCAGGGGTGGATGTAACTAGGGGAAGTTACCAGAGACATAAGAACGCAGTACAGCGCTGTCAACTTTGACACGACTGATGCAATAACGCAGGTGTTGGCTGATAACGATCAGAAAGCCAAGGCGTAGTATCTTGGGAAGCGATACAATAAGAACGCAATACGGTCTGTCAACTTTGATGTGACAGGATGCAGATGTTATATTAATCGGACTGATGAGACAACTGCGTAGTAATCGGAAGGCGAGATAATCGGATTGGACATAACTATGATAGAACCGAATACGATTACGAATACGAAGGGGATATATAGGAAGGCGACGGCTCTCTCTCGGTCTCTCTCTCTCGATCAGTCAGTCAGTGAGGCAGTATCAAGTTGGTTATTGAACGGGTTAGCCGTATTGTGTTAAGAAGGACGATAGACATGTGCATTCAGTTATGTGAAGACTAGTGAGGACTGTTGGGGGTCAGTTGATTCAGACTATTATTGTGAATCATTCCTTTTGATTCATTATATTATTGTGAAGCATTTCTTTGATTCATGTAATAAAAGGATCAATAGCGAACCTGCATCTTCGAGTATCTATACTGTGGTCGATGTTGTGTAGAATGAGTGGTTAGACTCGGTAACATTTGGCGTTGTCGAGCAGAACTCGTTAACATTTGGCACTACAGGCAAATAGTCTCGTTACATATATATATATAGGGGAAAGATACAACCAATAGTTACTCTGCTATCTTGGGGATGGGGATATCACAGCCACCCTCAGGATTTGACCTGCATCACCTGTAACTCATTTATGTACCTGGGCGTGGCCTGTAAGGTCAAGAAAGCTATCACCATTGTTTATAGCGGATTGCTGGTCAGGAAGGGGCTAGACCGCCCAGACCACCGATTGGATCTTAACACCTGCATGTTGAATAGCGACCCGCTGGTCATTGTAACTGGAGCTGAGCAGGGCTTGACCAAGGCGTGGGACAGAGAGTAGCAACAATTGTTATTTTATGAGAATGATGTGCAGGGGAGGATGGACTGGTACATCGACAGCTAAGGGTTAGGGTTAGGGTTAGGGACCCCACAAAACACAACCAGTCAGTACGACCAGAAAGCACTTGCGATACGTTAGACTAAACTCTGATTCAGGCAGGTACCAAGTATAAACCCAGACTAGATAAGTAGGATCTAGAACTGAAATGTTTTATGTGGAATATACCGTACTTATGGGCTTTGGAAGTCTTTTGATGTTTTAGTCTTTGATTTAGTTATACAGCATTGTACAAGATCTATTTTGTATATATATATATATATATATATATATATATATATATATATATATATATATATATATATATATATATATATATATATATATATATATATATATATACGTATATATATGTATATATATGTATATATACGTATATATATGTATATATATGTATATATATGTATATATATATATATATATATATATATATATATATATATATATATATATATATATATATAACATATATAATGTTTGTATGTATATATGTAGATGGATGGGTGTAAAAAACATTAGGTCTAACCCAGTCCCTCCAGTTGTAATTGTTGTAAATTAAATTTGAAAATATATTATTTTTGTTAAAGGTAGGGAAATTACTGTAATTCATTAAACATTGTACACAAATCTTAGTATATTTTTAGCATTAAATGATTTAAAATTCGTTTCTTTATCACAATTATTTTATGGTAATCTTTTACATAGCTATTTGTAATGATGTGCAAGTGATGTTACATGGATAATAATTTTCATGTGTTCAATGTTCTATTTATATCTCTGTCTTTAGTCTGCCATATTCAATGAGATTGACATCACTAATCTTAGTGTTGCTGAGTGTAGCACAAGGAATATTAACCACAGCTTTCAGGTAAGCTTATTAGCTCTTGTTGTAGTCTCATGCTTTAGAGTGTGTGTGTGTGCGTGCGTGAATGGGTGTGTTTGTATATATACACACACTCCCGAATTTTGTATGGTTTTAGGCCAGCGTATTCGAAGGATCCATCTGACGCATGAGTTTATAAATGATTGGATCTTCTTTTTATTTGTGGCAGTTATTCTCCATGTTTCAGCTCCATTGGGTAAAACAGGTTCAACTAGTGTGTTTAAGACAAGGATTTTTTTTCCAAGGGTTAAACCTCCAGAACCCCAAAATTCTTTTAGTTAGTTGAAGTTGAAGGCTGCTCTTGCCTTGCCCGTCCTTATTTTCATGTCTGCTTCTGTCCGGCCCTACTTCATCTGCCAATGTTATAGGGGTGCTGCTTGATGCATTGACCTTGAGCAGTTTACTCTTCCCTCTCTGAATGTTTAGGCTCAGGCATGTAGAAACATTAGCATAACTGTTGATTTTATCTTGCATTTGCTGTTGTGTGTGGGAAAGAAGGGCCAGGTCGTCATCAGTCCAGGTCATCCAGTTGGTTCCAAAAACTGCATACCGTTTCGCTTTTTTTCTCTCTGTTAACATCTTCATAATCCAGTCTATGGCCAGCAGGAACATGGGACCGAGAGTCTAGCATGCAGACAAATGAATCAGTCCATGGGACCGAGAGTCTAGCATGCAGACAAATGAATCAGTCCATGGGACCGAGAGTCTAGCATGCAGACAAATGGATTAGTCCATGGGACCGAGAGTCTAGCATGCAGACAAATGAATTAGTCCATGGGACCGAGAGTCTAGCATGCAGACAAATGAATCAGGTCATGGGACCGAGAGTCTAGCATGCAGACAAATGAATCAGTCCATGGGACCGAGAGTCTAGCATGCAGACAAATGAATTAGTCCATGGGACCGAGAGTCTAGCATGCAGACAAATGAATTAGTCCATGGGACCGAGAGTCTAGCATGCAGACAAATGAATCAGTCCATGGGACCGAGAGTCTAGCATGCAGACAAATGAATTAGTCCATGGGACCGAGAGTCTAGCATGCAGACAAATGAATTAGTCCATGGGACCGAGAGTCTAGCATGCAGACAAATGAATCAGGTCATGGGACCGAGAGTCTAGCATGCAGACAAATGAATTAGTCCATGGGACCGAGAGTCTAGCATGCAGATAAATGAATCAGTCCATGGGACCGAGAGTCTAGCATGCAGACAAATGAATCAGTCCATGGGACCGAGAGTCTAGCATGCAGACAAATGAATCAGTCCATGGGACCGAGAGTCTAGCATGCAGACAAATGAATCAGTCCATGGGACCGAGAGTCTAGCATGCAGACAAATGAATCAGTCCATGGGACCGAGAGTCTAGCATGCAGACAAATGAATCAGCCCATGGGACCGAGAGTCTAGCATGCAGACAAATGAATCAGGTCAAGGGACCGAGAGTCTAGCATGCAGACAAATGAATCAGTCCATGGGACCGAGAGTCTAGCATGCAGACAAATGAATCAGTCCATGGGACCGAGAGTCTAGCATGCAGACAAATGAATCAGTCCATGGGACCGAGAGTCTAGCATGCAGACAAATGAATCAGTCAATGGGACCGAGAGTCTAGCATGCAGACAAATGAATCAGTCCATGGGACCGAGAGTCTCAAATTCTTTTAATCATGAACAGCAAGTCAGCAGCTCGTGTTAGTTTGTAAATTCAGGGTGCTAAGATGCTAACACAATCAGATACAAAATTTAAACAAGCTGAAGTTCGAGATAATGTTCATATCCATACACCAGATGTGGACAGTTTTTTCCATTGAAATATTAAATGCCACAAATCCCAAATTGCTACCCTACGTGTTTTTGTTAAGTATCACTACATTAGTTCGCTATTCTGTCTGTCTGTCCGGAACGCTTTAGAGAAAACACAAGGAAATTTAAAAGATGCTTAGTGAACGACGACCAAGGCGTCACATGGAGCATATGTAATTTTCAAAACGCAATGAAATATGTACAGTTCTAAAGCCGGAAAAGTACACACAACATAATGATATTGATTGTAGAATTCCTCCCCTCACGCCCCGATCAAAATAGAATTTATTTAGAAAATATATGCAGACAAATGAATCATATATTTTTACCTCGTCCGTCCCCCCCCCCCCCCCCCGGAGAATAAAAAAGTCTGAAAGAAACACTATCTGCATGATTGAAGTTTAGTGGCTTAAAGTAGGAAAAGGGTCTAGATGTAGGGTCTACATACAAATTTGACTAGTGTTTCTTTCAGACTTTTTACTCCTGGGAGGGGGGGGGGAGCGGGCACTGTTAAAAGTATATATTTTCTATATTTAATTCTATTTCGTTTGATGGGGCGGTAGAAGGGCTGTAGAACACCCCCCCCCCCCCCCAAAGAGATGCCTGACGGATGTTTTTCTGTGGGTTTTGTGTAGTTTGGTGTATTGGAAGTGCAATGTGGCATGTAGGGTGGTGTGTATGGTTTAGGATGTCTAATGGGAGCTTAAACTTAAAGGGTAGTGGGGAGGATTGCGTGAGTGTTGTAGAAGTGGGATATGGGAAATGTGGTGTTTTAATGTTAGTCAAGTGTGGGTTTGAAGTGCGATGAAGTAGATAAAATGTGGATATCGTACTGATGTAGTCACCTCACTCTCCGCCTCCACGCCCCCCCCCCCCACACACACACACCACACAACTGCTGAAATCTGTTGTTAGAATTGTTGCGCTGTCCTCACCTCACTCTCCGCCTCCACGCCCCCCCCCCCCCACACACACACCACACAACTGCTGAAATCTGTTGTTAGAATTGTTGCGCTGTCCTCACCTCACTCTCCGCCTCCACGCACCCCCCCCCCCACACACCACACAACTGCTGGAATCTGTTGTTAGAATTGTTGCGCTGTCCTCACCTCACTCTCCGCCTCCACGCCCCCCCCCCCCCCACACACACACCACACAACTGCTGGAATCTGTTGTTAGAATTGTTGCGCTGTCCTCACCTCACTCTCCGCCTCCACGCCCCCCCCCCCCCACACACACACCACACAACTGCTGGAATCTGTTGTTAGAATTGTTGCGCTGTCCTCACCTCACTCTCCGCCTCCACGCCCCCCCCCCCCACACACACCACACAACTGATGGAATCTGTTAGAATTGTTGCGCTGTCCTCACCTCACTTACCCCCACCTACGCCCCCCACCCACACCACACAACTGCTGGAATCTGTTAGAATTGTTGCGCTGTCCTCACCTCACTCTCCGCCTCCACGCCCCCCCCCCACACACACCACACAACTGATGGAATCTGTTAGAATTGTTGCGCTGTCCTCACCTCACTTGCCCCCACCTACGCCCCCCCCCCCACACCACACAACTGCTGGAATCTTTAGAATTGTTGCGCTGTCCTCACCTCACTTACCCCCACCTACGCCCCCCCCCCCACACCACACACCACACAACTGCTGGAATCTGTTAGAATAGTTGCGCTGTCCTCACCTCACTTGCCCCCACCTACGCCCCCCCCACACCACACAACTGCTGGAATCTGTTAGAATTGTTGCGCTGTCCTCACCTCACTTACCCCCACCTACGCCCCCCCCCCCCCCACACCACACACCACACAACTGCTGGAATCTGTTAGAATAGTTGCGCTGTCCTCACCTCACTTACCCCCACCTACGCCCCCCCCCCCACACACACACCACAAAACTGCTGGAATCTGTTAGAATTGTTGCGCTGTCTTCACCTCACTTACCCCCACCTACGCCCCCCCCCCCCACACCACACAACTGCTGGAATCTGTTAGAATTGTTGCGCTGTCCTCACCTCACTTACCCCCACCTACGCCCCCCCCCCCCCACACCACACAACTGCTTGAATCTGTTAGAATGGTTGCGCTGTCCTCACCTCACTTACCCCCACCTACGCCCCCCCCCCCCACACCACACACCACACAACTGCTGGAATCTGTTAGAATAGTTGCGATGTCCTCATCTCACTTACCCCCACCTACGCCCCCCCCACACACACACCACACAACTGCTGGAATCTGTTAGAATTGTTGCGCTGTCATCACCTCACTTACCCCCACCTACGCCCCCCCCCCCCCCACACCACACAACTGCTGGAATCTGTTAGAATAGTCGCGCTGTCCTCACCTCACTTACCCCCACCTACGCCCCCCCCCCCCACACACACCACAAAACTGCTGGAATCTGTTAGAATTGTTGCGCTGTCCTCACCTCACTTACCCCCACCTACGCCCCCCCACACCACACAACTGCTGGAATCTGTTAGAATTGTTGCGCTGTCCTCACCTCACTTACCCCCACCTACGCCCCCCCACACCACACAACTGCTGGAATCTGTTAGAATTGTTGCGCTGTCCTCACCTCACTCACCCCCACCTACGCCCCCCACACACACCACACAACTGCTGGAATCTGTTAGAATTGTTGCGCTGTCCTCACCTCACTCACCCCCACCTACGCCCCCCACACACACCACACAACTGCTGGAATCTGTTAGAATTGTTGCGCTGTCCTCACCTCACTCACCCCCACCTACGCCCCCCACACACACCACAAAACTGCTGGAATCTGTTAGAATTGTTGCGCTGTCCTCACCTCACTCACCCCCACCTACGCCCCCCACACACACCACACAACTGCTGGAATCTGTTAGAATAGTTGCGCTGTCCTCACCTCACTTACCCCCATCTACGCCCCCCCCCCCCCACCACACAACTGCTGGAATCTGTTAGAATTGTTGCGCTGTCCTCACCTCACTTACCCCCACCTACGCCCCCCCCCCCCACCACACAACTGCTGGAATCTGTTAGAATTGTTGCGCTGTCCTCACCTCACTCACCCCCACCTACGCCCCCCACACACACCACACAACTGCTGGAATCTGTTAGCATTGTTGCGCTGTCCTCACCTCACTCACCCCCACCTACGCCCCCCACACACACCACACAACTGCTGGAATCTGTTAGAATTGTTGCGCTGTCCTCACCTCACTCACCCCCACCTACGCCCCCCACACACACCACACAACTGCTGGAATCTGTTAGAATAGTTGCGCTGTCCTCACCTCACTTACCCCCACCTACGCCCCCCCCCCACCACACAACTACTGGAATCTGTTAGAATTGTTGCGCTGTCCTCACCTCACTTACCCCCACCTACGCCCCCCCCCCCCTGCTCCCAGCCTGTTAGCTCACGCAGCAGCACGCGACGACCGTGCTGTGACGCTGTGTCTGTCCTCCCAAGATGGAGGCTTCCCGCAGGCAGAGCGTGTGAGTGCGACACAGTTGTGCTTGTGTCAGGTGCAGCAGAAATATGACAACACACACGGGTGTTTCTCTGTGTTGTCCGGCCTGAGCTCAGGGAAGAAGACAATATGAATTCCATTGGAAATGAAGCCATAGAACTTATGGAGTTAGGTGAGTTCACTCTTTATGAGTAGCGTCTCTAGATCTAGGTGTATTGAGTTCAACTCTTAATATTGCCTAGAGCTCTGTCGTGAGATGTTCTAAAATCAAGGTACAGCAGTACAAATTACCTTAGAACTTAGTCTATTGAAAATAAATGCTTTTGGTTCTTTATACATTTTTGGCTTACTTTGACGATACAGCCTGTAACAGCCGCTGATAGTTTACAGTTATACAGCTCCTTTTAGAAGTTCGCAGAGACCGGTTCAATTGGAATGGTTCATTGCGGTAACCTGAGGGGGTTTATGGGGTGGGTTGGGGAGGGGTGGCATTTATGAGGGCCCTAAGACTATAAGAGCGCACAACACCGTGATCTGAGCGGCCCGCCAATTTATATCGTCTCCTAACTTAAGAGAACATACGTGTGTTATGATAAAATAACTAGTCACAGATCATTTGTCAACAGTAGCGTCACATTAATATCGTCTCCTAACTTAAGAGAACATACGTGTGTTATGATAAAATAACTAGTCACAGATCATTTGTCAACAGTAGCGTCACATTAATATCGTCTCCTAACTTAAGAGAACATACGTGTGTTATGATAAAATAACTAGTCACAGATCATTTGTCAACAGTAGCGCCACATTAATATCGTCTCCTAACTTAAGAGAACATACGTGTGTTATGATAAAATAACTAGTCACAGATCATTTGTCAACAGTAGCGTCACATTAATATCGTCTCCTAACTTAAGAGAACATACGTGTGTTATGATAAAATAACTAGTCACAGATCATTTGTCAACAGTAGCGTCACATTAATATCGTCTCCTAACTTAAGAGAACATACGTGTGTTATGATAAAATAACTAGTCACAGATCATTTGTCAACAGTAGCGTCACATTAATATCGTCTCCTAACTTAAGAGAACATACGTGTGTTATGATAAAATAACTAGTCACAGATCATTTGTCAACAGAAGCGTCACCAAGGGAGTGTACGGCTTGGCTACTCCAGTATGATTCGAAGTTCTTCAAATTATTGATTTCGTCAAATTAAAATTTGATGTTTACATGACATTTAAAGTTGATGTCATCATGAGATTTAAAGTTGATGTTATCATGAGATTAAAGTTGATGTCATCATGAGATTAAAGTTGATGTTATCATGAGATTAAAGTTGATGTTATCAAGAGATTTAAAGTTGATGTTATCATGAGATTTAAAGTTGATGTCATCATGAGATTAAAGTTGTTATCATCATAAGATTAAAGTTGATGTCATCATGAGATTGTGTGTCCTCAGGTGATCACCCCATCACGAAACATTATTGTGTGTGCTGAGAGCAGAAGGGACATGGAAGAGTGGATTAACGCCCTTAAAATGGCAGCCAACAAAGAATACTATGAAGTAAGTAGTAATAACATTCTCTGCTGAAATCCTTTAAAGTTTGCCTGATGATCAATGCCATTATTGTCCTCGCTCCCCACTTCCACGATTTCCCCATTTTTATTTTTTAAAGGCTTTTAGTTTACTCAGTATATGTGTGTGTGTCTGTGTGTGTGTGCCTCCTCAAATCTTGGAATTTTAATTTTATCCACTTTCAATTTCCCGATTGAGCTACAGCCCCACACTGTCTAGTCTACAGCCCCACACTGTCTAGTCTACAGCCCCACATTGTCTAGTCTACAGCCCCAGCCCCACACTGTCTAGTCTACAGCCCCACACTGTCTAGTCTACAGCCCCACACTGTCTAGTCTACAGCCCCACACTGTCTAGTCTACAGCCCCACACTGTCTAGTCTACAGCCCCACACTGTCTAGTCTACAGCCCCACACTGTCTAGTCTACAGCCCCACACTGTCTAGTTTACAGCCCCACACTGTCTAGTCTACAGCCCCACACTGTCTAGTCTACAGCCCCACACTGTCTAGTCTACAGCCCCACACTGTCTAGTCTACAGCCCCACACTGTCTAGTCTACAGCCCCACACTGTCTAGTCTACAGCCCCACACTGTCTAGTCTACAGCCCCACACTGTCTAGTCTACAGCCCCACACTGTCTAGTCTACAGCCCCACACTGTCTAGTCTACAGCCCCACACTGTCTAGTCTACAGCCCCACTCAGTCTAGTCTACAGCCCCACACTGTCTAGTCTACAGCCCCACTCAGTCTAGTCTACAGCCCCACACTGTCTAGTCTACAGCCCCACACTGTCTAGTCTACAGCCCCACTCAGTCTAGTCTACAGACTGTCTAGTCTACAGACTGTCTAGTCTACAGACTGTCTAGTCTACAGCCCCACACTGTCTAGTCTACAGCCCCACTCAGTCTAGTCTACAGCCCCACACTGTCTAGTCTACAGCCCCACACTGTCTAGTCTACAGCCCCACACTGTCTAGTCTACAGCCCCACACTGTCTAGTCTACAGCCCCACACTGTCTAGTCTACAGCCCCACACTGTCTAGTCTACAGCCCCACACTGTCTAGTCTACAGCCCCACACTGTCTAGTCTACAGCCCCACACTGTCTAGTCTACAGCCCCACTCAGTCTAGTCTACAGCCCCACACTGTCTAGTCTACAGCCCCACTCAGTCTAGTCTACAGCCCCACACTGTCTAGTCTACAGCCCCACACTGTCTAGTCTACAGCCCCACTCAGTCTAGTCTACAGACTGTCTAGTCTACAGACTGTCTAGTCTACAGACTGTCTAGTCTACAGCCCCACACTGTCTAGTCTACAGCCCCACTCAGTCTAGTCTACAGCCCCACACTGTCTAGTCTACAGCCCCACACTGTCTAGTCTACAGCCCCACTCAGTCTAGTCTACAGCCCCACACTGTCTAGTCTACAGACTGTCTAGTCTACAGACTGTCTAGTCTACAGCCCCACACTGTCTAGTCTACAGCCCCACTCAGTCTAGTCTACAGCCCCACACTGTCTAGTCTACAGCCCCACACTGTCTAGTCTACAGCCCCACTCAGTCTAGTCTACAGCCCCACACTGTCTAGTCTACAGCCCCACATTGTCTAGTCTACAGCCCCACACTGTCTAGTCTACAGCCCCACACTGTCTAGTCTACAGCCCCACATTGTGTAGTCTACAGCCCCACACTGTCTAGTCTACAGCCCCACACTGTCTAGTCTACAGCCCCACACTGTCTAGTCTACAGCCCCACACTGTCTAGTCTACAGCCCCACACTGTCTAGTCTACAGCCCCACACTGTCTAGTCTACAGCCCCACACTGTCTAGTCTACAGACTGTCTAGTCTACAGCCCCACTCAGTCTAGTCTACAGCCCCACATTGTCTAGTCTACAGCCCCACACTGTCTAGTCTACAGCCCCACACTGTCTAGTCTACAGCCCCACACTGTCTAGTCTACAGCCCCACACTGTCTAGTCTACAGCCCCACACTGTCTAGTCTACAGCCCCACACTGTCTAGTCTACAGACTGTCTAGTCTACAGCCCCACACTGTCTAGTCTACAGCCCCACATTGTCTAGTCTACAGCCCCACACTGTCTAGTCTACAGCCCCACACTGTCTAGTCTACAGCCCCACACTGTCTAGTCTACAGCCCCACATTGTCTAGTCTACAGCCCCACACTGTCTAGTCTACAGCCCCACACTGTCTAGTCTACAGCCCCACATTGTCTAGTCTACAGCCCCACACTGTCTAGTCTACAGCCCCACACTGTCTAGTCTACAGCCCCACATTGTCTAGTCTACAGCCCCACACTGTCTAGTCTACAGCCCCACACTGTCTAGTCTACAGCCCCACACTGTCTAGTCTACAGCCCCACACTGTCTAGTCTACAGCCCCACACTGTCTAGTCTACAGCCCCACACTGTCTAGTCTACAGCCCCACACTGTCTAGTCTACAGCCCCACACTGTCTAGTCTACAGCCCCACACTGTCTAGTCTACAGCCCCACACTGTCTAGTCTACAGCCCCACACTGTCTAGTCTACAGACTGTCTAGTCTACAGCCCCACATTGTCTAGTCTACAGCCCCACACTGTCTAGTCTACAGCCCCACACTGTCTAGTCTACAGCCCCACACTGTCTAGTCTACAGCCCCACACTGTCTAGTCTACAGACTGTCTAGTCTACAGCCCCACATTGTCTAGTCTACAGCCCCACACTGTCTAGTCTACAGCCCCACACTGTCTAGTCTACAGCCCCACTCAGTCTAGTCCAGGGGTCTCCAAACTTTTCAGTCCGAGGGCCGCATTAACTATAAAATTTCAGTTCGGGGGCCAGTTTCTTCCAGGCATTTCTTTGATTTTTCTGGGCAAAATTCCTTAGCAATAACCAACGAACGATTTTTCATTGGACAAAAAGATCTCCGCGGGCCGGATGAGAGGACATCGCGGGCCGCATCCGGCCCGCGGGCCGTAGTTTGGAGACCCCTGGTCTAGTCTACAGCCCCACACTGTCTAGTCTACAGCCCCACACTGTCTAGTCTACAGCCCCAGCCCCACACTGTCTAGTCTACAGCCCCACACTGTCTAGTCTACAGCCCCACACTGTCTAGTCTACAGACTGTCTAGTCTACACACTGTCTAGTCTACAGCCCCACACTGTCTAGTCTACAGCCCCACATTGTCTAGTCTACAGCCCCACACTGTCTAGTCTACAGCCCCACACTGTCTAGTCTACAGCCCCAGCCCCACACTGTCTAGTCTACAGCCCCACACTGTCTAGTCTACAGCCCCACACTGTCTAGTCTACAGCCCCAGCCCCACACTGTCTAGTCTACAGCCCCACACTGTCTAGTCTACAGCCCCACACTGTCTAGTCTACAGCCCCACTCAGTCTAGTCTACAGCCCCACACTGTCTAGTCTACAGCCCCAGCCCCACACTGTCTAGTCTACAGCCCCACACTGTCTAGTCTACAGCCCCACACTGTCTAGTCTACAGCCCCACACTGTCTAGTCTACAGCCCCAGCCCCACACTGTCTAGTCTACAGCCCCACACTGTCTAGTCTACAGCCCCACACTGTCTAGTCTACAGCCCCACACTGTCTAGTCTACAGCCCCACACTGTCTACAGCCCCAGCCCCACACTGTCTAGTCTACAGCCCCAGCCCCACACTGTCTAGTCTACAGCCCCACACTGTCTAGTCTACAGCCCCAGCCCCACACTGTCTAGTCTACAGCCCCACACTGTCTAGTCTACAGCCCCACACTGTCTACAGCCCCAGCCCCACACTGTCTAGTCTACAGCCCCAGCCCCACACTGTCTAGTCTACAGCCCCACACTGTCTACAGCCCCAGCCCCACACTGTCTAGTCTACAGCCCCACACTGTCTACAGCCCCAGCCCCACACTGTCTAGTCTACAGCCCCACACTGTCTAGTCTACAGCCCCACACTGTCTAGTCTACAGCCCCACACTGTCTACAGCCCCAGCCCCACACTGTCTAGTCTACAGCCCCACACTGTCTACAGCCCCAGCCCCACACTGTCTAGTCTACAGCCCCAGCCCCACACTGTCTAGTCTACAGCCCCACACTGTCTAGTCTACAGCCCCAGCCCCACACTGTCTAGTCTACAGCCCCACACTGTCTAGTCTACAGCCCCACACTGTCTAGTCTACAGCCCCACACTGTCTAGTCTACAGCCCCACACTGTCTAGTCTACAGCCCCACACTGTCTAGTCTACAGCCCCACACTGTCTAGTCTACAGCCCCAGCCCCACACTGTCTAGTCTACAGCCCCACACTGTCTAGTCTACAGCCCCACACTGTCTAGTCTACAGCCCCACACTGTCTAGTCTACAGCCCCACACTGTCTACAGCCCCAGCCCCACACTGTCTAGTCTACAGCCCCAGCCCCACACTGTCTAGTCTACAGCCCCACACTGTCTACAGCCCCAGCCCCACACTGTCTAGTCTACAGCCCCACACTGTCTACAGCCCCAGCCCCACACTGTCTAGTCTACAGCCCCACACTGTCTAGTCTACAGCCCCACACTGTCTAGTCTACAGCCCCACACTGTCTACAGCCCCAGCCCCACACTGTCTAGTCTACAGCCCCACACTGTCTACAGCCCCAGCCCCACACTGTCTAGTCTACAGCCCCAGCCCCACACTGTCTAGTCTACAGCCCCACACTGTCTAGTCTACAGCCCCAGCCCCACACTGTCTAGTCTACAGCCCCACACTGTCTAGTCTACAGCCCCACACTGTCTAGTCTACAGCCCCACACTGTCTAGTCTACAGCCCCACACTGTCTAGTCTACAGCCCCACACTGTCTAGTCTACAGCCCCACACTGTCTAGTCTACAGCCCCACACTGTCTAGTCTACAGCCCCACACTGTCTAGTCTACAGCCCCACACTGTCTAGTCTACAGACTGTCTAGTCTACAGCCCCACACTGTCTAGTCTACAGCGCCACACTGTCTAGT